AGAATTAAAAAACGAAACAAAACCAAACCAAAGAGTGGCTGTGAATGCAATTTGCAAAGACAGAGCGCCAGACAGGGGAAGGGATTGTTACAAATAGCGTTTCTGCTGTCTTGAGTCCCTCTCAGTCCCAAATTCACCCGTCCGCTGACTGTGGTTCCTCTAAAGCATTCGCTGTGCAACATCCTCACCAGGGTCCTTTGCATTGTCTCCATGCTATTGCTCTGCGTAGGAAACTAAAAACACATATCTCGCAGATTTGTGTTATGCTAAATGATCATTTAAATGTTCAGATCGGAAGCCCTGGAATTTTCCATCTGCCTTTCGTCTGCTGGGCTGGTGCTGGAAGGGCACTGCTGAGAGGTTCCCTGCGGGCTGGCTTTGCCGGTGGGTGTGATTGAAAATCTGTAGCTAACACTTGGAGAAACAGAGTACGGGGAGAGTTAATAAAGGACAAAAATAGAGATCAAAAAGATATAAACACACATCGCACTTTGATCTCAATATCATTTTTTAAATAATACATTTGCACATCTTCAAGATCAGCCTCTCTGGGGTTTCTGGCAGGGGACAGAATATTCTTGCCAGTCGCAGGGAAGCTGATCTAGTTTTCAAGGAAAGGGTAGAGGTGGCAAATTGCCAATTAGATTGCAGGTGGTGATGGGGACGGGAGGCCGGAGATGGATGGTCTTGATGTCAAGAAATTCATGCTGATGGCAAAGAGAGGGTGAAGACGCATTTGGCGCCTGGAAAAAGGCAGGCAAGCCAAATGGAGGAGGTGAAGTTAAATCACACGCTTGCTTTTTGTTTTCGCTTACAAAAGAGCCCCCCAAACATGGAGATCATTATACAGAATGTCCAAGGCAAATTAAGGAAAATAATTATTGTAGCTGACGAAGCAGAACTCCTATTAAAGCTAAATGCTACTTCACAGAGCTCAGCGGTGGAGGCTTCGAACTAAATGCATTTTTCAGCATCTTTAGTGCAGTATATTAAATTAAGTTTTTAACCACTTTTCTCCTCCCCTTTTATTTTCCTTCCTGCCCCCTCCTCCTTCTTCAGTCTCTCAGGCAGGTGGTATAGGGGTGGAAGTCTGGAGAAAGTGTTACAAGAAAGGACTGCTGAACAAGACATCCCTTAGCTCCCAACTCCCTTTTCTCTAAGATGGAAAGTAAGTAAAAACCTCGAGGGACAATAACTGGTGGTGGGCTGGGGCTTCAAGAGACAAGGAGTGACCTGTCTCTGCAGAAATGGGGCAGAAAATAAACGATGGAGAAACAGAGGGAATTCTTCAGGTTGTCCGGCTTTTTTATCCTGTTTTTACTTAAGCAAATTCCTGCATCTTGCAAAAAAAAAAAAATTCTTTTCACTCCATGTTCACCTCCTCTCCGAAAAAAACAAGACTGAGATGGGGGAAATTTTCCGTTGATTTGGGCTGTATGTGTTCCTCTTATTTCTTAGCTAAGATCTCTTTTTCATTGTTTGTGTGTTTTAACTGACGGTGCTTGTGAGGTGCACTTTTCCATATGATACTGGAGTCTTGAAATCCATAAGTTCTCAAGTTAGACAACATGCTGTCAAGTACAGACCACTGAATCTTTCATTACTTTCACGTCCCATGACGCTCCAGTAATATTCACCACGTTTGGACACATGCCTGATACGTATTATATACAGAAAAGATCAAATTAGTTTGAATTTTTTTTCTCCTAGGAAAGTATCTGGCCCGAAGTTCTGCCCTATGGATGCTCTGTGACCACCCACTCTCAGATCCATGATGATCAAAGCCAGGGGTCCTCTGCACTGTTCTGGCCTCACGGTGTCCAGTCATCTATTAGTTTAAATGCAGCGTTTCTGATTCCACTTCATCCGAGAAAGACGTGGGTTGAACAAAGGTTCTCTCTCCATCCCTGCAGGACCCTCACGCTCTCTGGCACCCGCTGCCTGTGCCATCTGTTCAAACACGGAACTGTTGATAGTGGACAGAAGCCATGTTGTAACACTTCCATTTCTTCTTTCAGAGCCTTTATCAAAGCTTCCTACATGGCGGGTACTCAGTAAGTCTTTGATTATAATTTTGATGATCACAAAAGTGTTTCAGATTGGATAATCCAAAAAAGATGGAATGGTGTATTTGCTAATAAGCCTCAAATCCTGTCATCACCCCAAAAAGGTCTTTGCATCAACTGCAGTGAAGGTTCACCACCCAACACTTCAGGGGAATATGGGATACCTTCCCATTCGCAGACCTCAATGTCTAGTCCCTCTCTGCCGCTTAGCTGTGAGATCGTGGGAAAATCAGAGTCCAGCTTCAATCATCACTTGGATCCGATGAGAGGAACCCTCACTCTCCTGAACTCTAACAATGTCTACGGTCGAGGCTTCCTCAATACCAGGCATGTCCCTAAGTGCTTTACATGTAGTATGTATTTCTTACCAGATTCCTGTGTGGTAGAAACTACAATTTGCCCATTTTCCAGATAAGATAAATACAGTGTAGGATGTTAAATAACTTGGCCCAGATCACAAAGCTGATAAACCACTGAGCTGAGATTTACTGAGGGAGTGTGGCTCTGGTGCCCAGGATTGTAATCCACACACAGCACAGCCTCTTGCTAATTGCTTGTTGCAAGGATCAAAGCCAGGATGATATGAAAAGTTGCTGTATTACACTTTATTTTGAAAAATAATATGCAGATTATTGAGAGCACTTTAAGAAGATGAAAGCTCTCACCAAACTGGGCCCTATTAAGCTCCCCCTTTTTCTGACCCTACTTGGCCGCTAGCTGAGAAAGATCTTCCCCTCACCATTAGTGGAAAACGTTGGTGACAACCACGCATGCCTCGCTCAGCCCATTACCTCCCGAGGATGGCCTGTGGCTGTTTTCAGGGCTGACATATTTCTCTCTGTCCTCTGGAGCGAGCCAGGAGGACTCACTCTGGGAAGGCATTCCAAGCTCTTTGTGCAGTGGTGTTTAAAATGCAGGATCCCTGTCTGGGAGAGAAATGACTTGAAGAGCCTTAATGCAAATCCCCGTCCTGCTCTCCAGGCAGCTGTGAGGCTGGCAGACAAGGCAGGGAAGGGACTTGCATGGGCCATCATGTTACATATTCAGTAGTGAGAAGACTTGATTCTGCACCTTGCTGGTTACAGCTGCCAGATCGAGAGCGATCAATAGAGAACTTTGTTAATGATGTGAAATTCACTTCGGGCTCACTCCGCACAAATACATATGCAATCTATTATTAGTGCCTTCAGCCACAGGCCTGTCCAGATGTGATTTAATTCAAAGTCTGATGATCTTTTCCTTTGTTTTACCTTTATAAATCTAACGTGGTTGATCCACTTCTGCCTTTAATAAAAATGGCAAACCACACGGCCTTGCTCTGAAACAATGTATTTGACAGCGAACATCAGAAACTCACAAGGCAGAGGTAATGAAATGACAGCGGATGTTACCGTGGCCCAGAGGGAAGTAACTCACAGAGTTCGGGAGTCCACATTTTTTAAGAAACACGAAGTGGGTGGATTATCTTCGGAAATTATTGGAGAAGATGTATTTATATAGATTCCTTTCCAAAAGATGAATCCAATCATCATCGCATAGATAAATGTGGAGTCTTAATGGCAAATGTTGATTTAATATTCGAGTCGGAGTCTTGCAGTAAAAAGGCTGAATTGCATTAGGAGAGCGAGGCTAGGACTGGGTAGACACGAAAACTTAATACCACAGCAAATAAATCTGGCAGCACAATTTAAAGCTGAAAAGAAATAGAAAGATAAATGATGTCATAAAAGATTCACAGGGGCGTTTTTAACTGAACTGCTAAATATTTTAAAACAGAATAGCCAAGGCCATTTCGTATGAGAAACCCAAGTGAGTGACTCTCTCGATTTATTAAATGCAGTTCCCTCAGTGTTTATCAGGCCTGTTCTGTCTGAAAGGTACTGTACTTCTAGGCATTGGAGAATTGGGATATTACCCAAGAGATTATTATTTATTATCATTTTAGTATATATAATGTGTATTATATAACAATATAATTGTTATTGTTATTATTATGTAAAGGAGATAAGGCAAGTAGCCCTGCAATCTACATAAACACAATCATAATTTTAAGAAAGGGATGTCCTGGTAAAAAAATCATATTTTCATTCCCTCAAGCCTGTTTTAAGGAATAGGTCTGGAGCTATTGCCTGCTACTGAGCTCCTGTGATTTTTGTTAAATGATGTGAGTTTCCTTTCAGCAACCAGGGACAAGGCTTCAGGCAAAGACACACGCATCGGCCACCATGAAAAGGCCGGTGAGTCCTGAAGTCGCCTTTCCAAATTGGATGAGAACTATTCCATCCTCTCAGATCATCTTTTTAGGTGGAGTGTTGAGTTCAAGAGAGAGGACGGGACCAATGGGGCAGCAACAGAGGCCCCGTGAGGGGTGGAATCATCTCTCAGACACCGATGCCTTGCAATGGACCAGCATCGGGATCTGGATGCGGTCGAGTCCCAGCTCACGAACCACCCATGAAAAAGTGTGTACTGCCTTTGGATCTAGCCGAGAGAACATGAGAAAGGCCTGGGATGGTAATAAGCAGAGGCATTTTTAACTTTAAAGGGAATAGCAGTGGGGAAAATAGATTTCTAAAGCCCCCTACAGAATTTGCTGACTGAGGAATTGGTTGATATGCTCAAGGCCACTGTTAATGGAAAGGGAAAAAAAGAAACACACACACACACACACACACACATACCACATGCACTAGGATCCTAAATTCACAGAGAGCTCTTCTAATTGAACATTTACAAACTTTTAAAAACCTGGAAGACTGTTTTAATGAAACTGGATTGAACTTTTAACAGGCAAAGTTTAAGCCGAGTAAATCACAGATGAACATGCCCACATTCTAGCCTCCACCTCCACTGGCTAATATTTTGCCCTATTTTATGGTTTCGGATGCGTGGTCACCAGTGGACTTTGAGTCTAGTTGAAAGAAATGGCCAAAGACGTACTGGGGGTGCTCTGGGGGGTGACAGGGACGCCCTACCTGCTGAAAGCACGCACGGCCCTGTCTTATCGCTGGAGAGAGGAGTTCACGTGTCAATGGAAACATCCTTGGGAAGGAGTTTTTATTCTGTTTTGTTTCCTATTTGGCGTGGATTTTGTTATTAGATCCATTCACCCTATTGTCCAGCTAAGCACGTAAGTGGATGGGAGTGGAGGATCCTTGATGGTGGGGGAGACCAGGCTGGTGGCGGAGAGAGGGGGGCACCTCCGGGGCAAAGTGTGATTGCCCGGGAGGCTTGTGTGTCTGGAATTTCCTGGTAGGAGAAAGATGCTCGTAGATGTAGAAAGAGGTGGAACACAAGTGTCGCTCATTTTTCTGATGAGGCTCAGGGCTGCCCATGCTACGGATTTTCATAAATGCATACGTGAAGTAAGACACATCTCTCTCCTTAGCCATAACACCCTCTTCAGCCTTGATCAGACTTTGAAAACCTGTGTCTTCCTATTTCCTTTCCAATCTTGAAAGACCTGCAATCAGGAAAGAATGCTCATAAGGAAGTTAATAATTAAATGTAAACTATTTATGGCTTAACTGTGTTACTTTGGGGGCACATTTTTAAGTAAAAGGGCACAAATTCCAGGATAAAGGAGTCCTTTTCTAATCATGGAATCTTGTCAAGAGAGGGGCTTTGAAAGTGAGAATGTCTTTCTTTACCGAGTCTAAAACCACACTGCTCACCAAAAGACATGCTAATAATTTGAGAGATGAGGTGTTAGGATAAGGGGTGGTGACTTTATCCAGAAAGCCAGCAGACGGAGAAGATGGCAGAATAATGTCTAGGAGAACCATCTTCCCCAAGACAGAATTCAGGCTCTTTTTATACTAAAAAGGGGAGGGGGTGTGGTTGGCTGTTGCAAACTTCTTAGCGTTGGAATCCTTTGTTCTTGCAGGTGTCCAGGTAGGTCAGGCCACAATGTTACTGTAAACCTCCAACAAGACAAATGTTACTGTCTGTTCTGCAACTTTTTATCTCTATATGAATGGAAAAGTGTTACATCCTTAAAGGTCAGAGCTTGAGAAGGGGCTCTCCTGTATATTTCAGGCATATGCAACATCCTTTTTCAAAAGGTGCGGAACCAGCAGGACTCAGCACAGGAAACAGAGCACAGGGTTAGAGCCAAAGGGACAGATCTCATATGGAGTCAGATTTGTTCTCCCCGTTTACAGTCCCAGCAAACCTCAAATCACCCCGTAAGTGCTGGGTTACTTCGAGTGTGGCCATCCTGGTCTGGTCCGAGGCAGAAACCCCTTCTCTTTCCGTCTCTTCAGGTGCCACCTTTCTGACTATCAGAGGCAGACGGACTGGGACTGGAGAATGTGGCTTACCTCTTAATTTCTTGTATGCCTAAAATCATGTGGACAAAAAACAAAACCAAAAACTCTAGTTCAGAAGTGTATTTTGTAATAAAACTTTAACCATTTGAAACACTTGATTAAAACCACCAATTGATTACATTTATTTTTATTTTGGATTTGAATTTTGATGAATAAAGAAAAGAAAAGTAAAAAAATTTAGAGGGATAAGGAGACGAAGTGAGGAGTGGTGACTTCTGAACTCAGGCTTAAAAAGAAAAGTGATGTCTAGGCTGTGTCTCAGAATAAGGCCCCACTGAGCCACCTTTTACATATTCTTCTGAGCTTCTTGTAAAATCTGATCCAGAGCTATGCATAGAGATCCTACAAAGTCTTATATAGGTTGAATAATAAAAGAAAAGGAAGAAATAAAGATGGAAAGAAAGAGAGGGAAGGAGGGAGGGAAGAAGAAAAGAAAAGAGACGATAAATCAGATTTACAGGACTCTCCACCTTGAAATGTGGAAGTAAATGCACACATCATGGTTAAGATTTTCAACACCAGATTCTGAAACTGAAAAATGTGATCCCCAGTGACATAAAGAATTTAATTCATTGGATTTCTTATAATCTTATAAAAAAGCATAGATGGTTACCCTTTGATTTTCTGGGCTATATTGACAATGAAAATCTCAATGTCCTACAAAATATATGGTTAGTAAAATAATTACTGTGATCTCTCCAGAGGCTCTCCAGAAGCAATGATTCCCTTGGGCTGACAGCTTTCAAGTCACGTTGAAAAATCAAGTATATGAATTATGAAAAATAACACTGTGATTGCAATCATTTATCATAGATTGTCTTTTCAAAGCTGTTTAATATATGAGAGATGGTGGTTACTCCTTGTTCCATTCCTGTGGTTACATTTTTGCATCTTAAAAATAATTATAAAAGATTACAAAAAATAAGAAAATAGAGAAAATATTAAACTACCTGCTATCCTATTATTCTACTACAATAAATTCTTCCATTAAAAAAAAAAAACAGTTAGTGGGCTGGACTTATGTTTGTCTGTTTTTCACACAATGCTAAGAAAGTCATGCATAAACTTGTTTTTGTGCCATTAAGGAAGGTGTGGGTCATGACTGTCTCATGGACTTTGATGTCTTGAACGTGAGATAAAGGACAAAAGAGTATTTCTCTTCCTGAAGCCATGAAATGTAAGACGGTGGAAGGGCTTACAACCGGTGTGATGCGCAGGTGACTAGTTCTGGAAGAACTCAGCTCACTTGGCTAGAGTCAGTGACTTCTGTGTTCTCAGCCTTCACTTGAAGCCATGGTATCTTAGTAACGGTGAGAACGTCACATTCAAATTAGGCTCTTAAGTCTGACCAGGTCAGAAGTTAATGACTCTAAGTAACTTGAAGTTTCTCTGGGTTGTGACCTCTTTCTCTAAATCAGAATTTGGCAAACGCCGGATGCACCAACTGTTCCCGCAACATCCCCAACAGAGACCGGGTCTGTGTCTGCATCATCCATGGAAAACCCGATGTGGCTCGAGGAGGTTACCCCTCAGCCACTCACCTGCCTGTTCTACTAATTAAGGTTTTCTTCTTTCTGAGATTGTCCACCTAAAAGGCTCAGAGAATCCAGAGGCACAAAGTAGAGGTAGGAGTTGCTTTTTGTTTTTGTTTTTGTTTTTGTTTTTGTTTTTGTTTTTGTTTCTAAACTCCTCTGGGTAACCAAGGGCACTGTCCCTAAAGCAGAAACCAACGTACAAGAAAAGACAGCAGGTGGTGAGGGGATTCTCCTTTCAGACTCACCCACCCTGTGCTACTTAAGTGACTCTCAAAGCGTTGGTCATGGTGCCTGTAATAACTTGCTGACCCATATTTAAGGATGATCAGGGCCACAGCATCACAGAATTCTGGGAAGATCCACTCCCACTGTGATCCCAGTGACCAATGCTGTCCAGCATGATGCAGCCCACAAGTCAGATGCTGGGGCTGGATGGGTTCTCTCCCCTACATGTTTTAGGAATTTCATGTCCTCAGTAATTCACTACCAAAAGCCATCACATATTTTTTTTATCTTTTTAACTTGTGCAATATTTGGGAGCAAAAGAGGGACTATTTTTGTACAAAATAAACAATTTTAAGAAAAATAAGGATGATACTGAAAAAAAATAAGATGTAATTATTTAGCATCTGAAGTCCATGGTTCATAACTAAACAGATGTAATATGACAGTCTTCATCAAAACTGTCAAGAAGCTTAAGGAGTAAATAAGTAACTAGAGAAAAATTATTTATCGTCTAAACACAAAGATAGATGTCTTTCTCTTCCTCAGAAGGATAATTATCCTCCTCTGCAATATCCTTGATTCTCTACCCCCCACCTCCTCCTGTCCACACTGAAATATTTCTTCCAAATCCACACGTGACTCCCATGGGCTCAGGTTAGAATTTTGCACAAAAGAATAGCACTTCAGTAGACTTCCAAGTGTATGGAAATTTTTACCAAGTATTTTCCAATTAGTGGTGTGCCCATATTTGACCCACATCCTCCAGAGAGACAGGCTTCTGGTGGTATTTGCCAGGAATCACTGCTTTAACAAATAAAATCTGTTCACGGAGGAACACAAACAACATAAGGCTTTGGTCACAAAGGACTTTATCTTTTTCACACGTTTCCTCTAACACAGAAGTTTGTGGTTTTTTCAACTTTCAGACCTCAAGGGAAATACATTCTTTTTTTTTTTGGCACATAGTCTATTGGAGATAGCAGTGGACTTTGGATCAAGTGGTGGTGGGGGGGTGGTATGTATTTGATTTTGTATTAAAACTCTAGAGTGGTTTATTTAAATGCATTTAATTCCATGACAACAAAAATTTATTCCTTGACTTGCCCACCATTCTTCTCAAAATGAAAGTACCTCACAGAGTGCTTCTGAAGAACATAAACATCCTTTTTTAACAATTAAATCATAAGGTTAGAGCAAGCAGGTAGCTAGATATGAAGAGAGAAATGGGGACATGGGCTAAATGGCAGGAAACCACACATCCCATGAACAATGAGGTCCTTGGATAAATCAAGAAATGCAGGAACCCCTGGACTGATACATACATTTGGGGATGACAAGTGTCCTGAAGGTTGTCAAAGAAAGGTGGGGCAAGACAGGAATCTCTACCATCCGAATGTAACATTTCACTCATTATACCATCATCTGACTTCCTGATCAAGGCTAAATAAGGACAAAAAAAAAAATCCCTCCTGCCCTTGGGAAGGTGAGGCTGGGATGAAGATCAGGAAAGATGACCCCAAACCCCTCTCCCTGCTGATGAATATTCTGCCCGTTCACTTTTACACTCATATAACGAGCTTGCCAAAGAAACATGGGGCAGCTACCCACCTGAGTCCATCTGCTCTCCCCTTGAGAGCGTACTATCTATCACTTAATAAATCCTTGCTTTGCTTTCTTGACCTCTATGTCTCTTTTCTGAATTCTTTCTGTGACAAGACAAGAACCTGCTCTCCAATAACAATCAGATCCAACTTTGAAAAGAGTGGAGAGAGACAGAGACAGAGGGACAGAGAGGGGGACAAAGAGAGAGAGAGAGAGCTAAATTAATCAAAAGATATTTGGTTTGCCTGCGAATATTGGAATCTTATAAGGGATGTGAATTTAACTGTGAGTTTTCCTATTTCTTTGAAACAGGACATCGTAAGCTATGCATCGCTTTTCAAGAGTAACAGACATTTCACTAGCAAAGTCTGTATTTGTTGTGCTTTCCTCACTGTCCAGGCCATGGCACTGTGAACAGTGAGCGCTTTCACGAACTTAGTAAAGTGCACCCACCCTCAGCAAGATGGCCTTGCCTGACTCTTGCTTCAGGGCAACAGGAGCTCAGTGCACAAACTGTCCCAGGACGCCCCCCGTGTGCCCACGGCCTCCCCCCACAACCAGGCGGGCTCGTGGCGACGAGGGGCTGTTCCTTTCTCTATCTGTGTACACAGTTTTTGCTGCATATCTATTTCTGGGATCTTCAATGCCAAGTCCTGGTGCTCTGCAGGTCGCTAGGCTGCATCCAGGATGTGGAAATGTGGTGATTCAGCTCAGTA